CCCAGTGCCATAAGTGCCACGCCTGCCACGCAAAACGAAAGTAGATGTCTCCAAAGTGCCGGTGTGTGACAAAGATCTGTGTGTGAAAGATGGTGATTGAAAGATGGTGGTTGACAAAGTTGTGTGTGAAAGATGATGTGTGAAAGATGGTGGTTGACAAAGTTGTGTGTGAAAGATGGTGGTTGACAAAGATGTGTGTGAAAGACAGTGTGTGAAAGATGGTGGTTGACAAAGATGTGTGTGAGAGATGGTGTGTGTGACAAAGATGTGTGTGAGAGATGGTGGTTGACAAAGATGTGTGTGAAAAAAGGTGTGTGAAAGATGGTGGTTGACAAAGATGTGTGTGTGACAGATGGTGTGTGACAAAGATGTGTGTGTGAGACATGGTGGTTGACAAAGATGTGTGTGAAAGATGGTGTGGCGAAAGATGGTGGTTGACAAAGTTGTGTGTGAAAGATGGTGTGTGAAAGACGGTGGTTGACAAAGATGTGTGTGAAAGATGGTGTGGCGAAAGATGGTGGTTGACAAAGTTGTGTGTGAAAGATGGTGTGTGAAAGACGGTGGTTGACAAAGTTGTGTGTGAAAGATGGTGGTTGACAAAGATGTTTGTGAAAGATAGTGTGTGAAAGATGGTGGTTGACAAAAATGTGTGTGAAAGATGGTGGTTGACAACGGTGTGTGTGAAAGATAGTGTGTGAAAGATGGTGGTTGACAAAAAAGTGTGTGAAAGATGGTGGTTGACAACGATGTGTGTGAAAGATAGTGTGTGAAAGATGGTCGTTGACAAAAATGGGTGTGAGAGATGGTGTGTGACAAAGTTGTGTGTTGTGTGACAAAGGTGTGAGGAGGCGGGATACCACTATCTGCCACTCAGGAGCGGCAACCCCACGAGGCCGGCGCAGGCCCAGTAATGCGCTGCGCCTGCGTCGAGGGGGAAGGCCGCCACAAAGGACATGTCGGCTTGCTTAGCAAGCGCGACAGCCTTGTGGACAAGGGCCTTCCCCCCGCCGCGACCGTTGAGGCAACCAAGCTGGCCCACCTCCAGGCCACGCCCGCCGCAAACGGCGGCGAGCGTGGCGGCCTCAAGGACGGAGCCATGGAGGGTGGCCACCAGCAAGGTAGTCGGCCTGACTCAGAAGATGCCCTCTAATCATTTGCCCTCTGTTGTGATACGTTGCCTCTCCTCCACAATCTTTGAATCATGCCTAGCATTTGCCTCTGCCTCAAACTCCTCGACCTTTGCATCTGCTGTTGCACGAGCCTGGTTCCATCCGACCTCAAATTCATCTCCTCGTTTTCTTTCCTCAGCTAATACTGTTGTTGCTGTCACTTTTATATCTTGCAATCTCTGCTCATACTCCTTCTTCTGTTCTGCCACTTTGCTAGCTCACTCATTTCTGATTGAATCAGCTACACCACGCATGATCTCGAGATGCCTTTGTTCAGCTTCCCTCATGACCTGAATTGTGTTTCCACTGGTGGTTTGAGAAGGTTCTGTTGTTTGAACGTGAAGTATGCAACTACCGGGCTGATAACCTGTATTTACCCAGGTCGGCCGACAATGGGGTGAAAACACTACAGCCGTTCAGCACTTGATCCTGTTTTTAACCAACGCTTCAAGGTAGTCAATGTATGATACATGAAATGTGGGTTTTACTGCAGAAGTTTTTACAAACCTTTCTCCAGCACAAGCTACTTTTGGCAGCGCTGGCAGTAGCAGCCAGAATCCGTCTAAACATGGGGTACGCCAAATAAATCCAAGTCATAGCTTCCTGAAATTTCAATGGGAAAAGTCAAAGAATATGATTTCTCTGATGATCACCGCATAGTCTAAGGCTGCGGCCTCAGAGCCAGAGGACACGCACGCAGTACGCCCAAAGGGCGTACTGCGCAGCAGCCCAGCTAACAAAGCTCTGTGCCTCCCCCTCCGCGGGAGGCAGCTGCCGAAGCATGCTGGACCTCCCGCCATGGCCCGAGCGGGTCGGCCCAGCGCTTCGCGTTCCAGCCGAACCTTGGCCAATACCAACCAGGAGTATTAGGTCTTTTTGTTGGTATAGTACGTAGGCATAGAGGACAATTACCCACAACCGCGTCTTGAGTTCAGGATTTTTGGACAGACTGTGAAATCCATTGTGTGTGTGTCGTTTTTTGTAACATCCAATTTGATATTGCATGTGGCTGTGGCTGCTTAAATACTATCAGTTGACTTCGGGCATAGACCAAAAGCCTGGTATTCTGCTATTGGCCATAGGCGTGAAGGCAGGTATTGTTTAGCTGGATGTAATTTCCAACCTTCGATGCATGGCCGACTGGATCCCATGTATCCCACCTTGCCATTCACCATGGGATACATGGGATGATATCTCCTTGTGTATCCCATGTATCCCAGATGTTCCTTACCATGGCAAAAAGCACTGAAAGAACAAGCGTCTGTCATATTTGGTGTTTACTACTATTACTATTACTACTACTGCTACTGCTACTACTACTACTACCACTACCACTACTACCACTACTACTACTACTACTACCACTACTACTACTACTACTACTACAACACCTACCTACCTACCTACCCACCTACCCACCTACCCACCTACCCACCTACCCACCTACCCACCTACCCACCCACCTACCCACCTACCCACCTACCTACCTACCTACCTACCTACCTACCTACCAGTAGTACCGCACAAGGCGGTGGCGGAAGTTTCAAAAATAGGAAACCTATAGGAAAGGTTGGTTGTTGTGAATCACGGATGGCAGAGCGAAGCCACTGATGGATCGAAAGTTGATTGATGTCTCCTCTCTTTCTCTCTCTTTCTCTGACTATCTACCTACCTACCTACCTATCTATCTACCTATGAATCTATCGATCGATCTATCTATCTATCTACCTATCTTTCTATCCATCTATCTATCTATCTATCTATCTATCGAGCTAACTATCTCTCTATCTATTTGTCTATCTGTCTATCGATCAAATTCTCTCTCTCTCTCTCTGTATATATATATATATCTCTCTCTATCTGTCTATCTGTCTATCTATCTGTCTATGGCTCTACCCATCTATTTCTCTATTTGTCTTGGTATCTAACTATCTGTCTATGTGTCTATGTATCTATCTGTCTATCTCGCCATCTATTTCTCTAGCTGTCTCTCTGACTATTTATCTATCTGTCTGTCTGTCCATCTATCTATTTATCTATCTGTCTG